ACTTCCCCCGGTAAAAGAGTATGACCATTTTTTGCAAAAACAGGGGGGATTTTGCCTTCCCCCACCACCCAAAAGCACTCTACAGGCTTCAGCAGGTCTGGGGGAAGGGAAATATGCCCCCGCTTTGGTGAAAAATTGGGCGAAAATTGGTGAAAATTTTGGTGAAAAATTCCTTACTTACCTCTTTGAAATCTTGGTGTGTCTTATACACTGGTGCATCTTACAGTCCGAAAAATATGGTAAGTATGAAGACCTTTAAAAGAGTAATAATTCAAATCTAGTGTTGTTATTATCTGTAATATCAACAAGTTCCAATGTTGTACAACTATAAAAATGAAATTTCTTTCACTTATGCTGTCATTACTCTGGAATGTTTAATTTTTGTTCTATAATGACTGTCCTGTGCCCAACTACCTCCTCACATTATTTGTAGATTCATAATAAATTAATCGTGTTAGTCAAATTATCTATTAAATCAACACATTTTCATATCAGTTTAAACGTGTTCTAGAGCAAGAATGAGCACGCTTTTATAAAATAAGGTAGGCATGGCTATTCTATCTAGTAAATAGGTTTTTATTTTCACAAAGAATCCATTGCTGATTAAATTTATACAAATGATTCAAAGATATTGTATATTTCTCCTGCCTAATTCATGGGGGATACGTGCCTAATAAAACATTTTAAATTAACTATACTTAAATATCAGTTTAACTATATATGAAACATTATTACACACATACTATGTGATTATTGTTAAGTTGAGAAAAATCTATTTTAACTTACAATAACCACAACATGTTATTCTATACTTCCAGATCACCCCTAAGCCATGCGATGTACTGGATACTTGATTCTTATTGTTATGCTATTTATACTGTGTTATATAGAATATTGCCCCAATATTCAATGTCCACCAATCTAATATTCAAGATACTCGAAAAAGGGAGTAGATCTGAAAGAGGTGAATGTCTCCAAATTTCCAATTTGCTTGTCAAAGAAATGCTCATATGTATAATATCTAAAGAAGTATTTTTTTTTAAATGACAAAATTTTGATGGCTAGAGATTTTTCATTTTTGTGATGAGCCTGAAAAATGAGTCTGTTCATCATATAGAAAGTCTCTATAGATAGAAAAAGCTCTGCAGCTCTTTTTTTAATGTAAAAAACCTTCTATAAATGGAAGGTATTCCAAAAGTCTAGGTCATATTCACATATTCCTTCTCCTTAAAAGCAGCTAAAATGTTATCAGTTACTACAGCACTTAAGTAACTCTCGTAAATATACTGAATAATGTATTTCAGAAAACGGTTGACTATGAGCCTGCAACAGTGTGCATCAGGCTCAATTCAAAGTGCTGGTTCTAACCTTATAAATACATATTTTATAACAGAGCATTCTTAATAGTGCCTTCTTTAATATGCTTCTCTCAAAGGAAAATATAAAGGAAAAAATAGCTATCAGGAGAAGGAATATGTGAATATGACCTAGACTTTTGGAATACCTTCCATTTATAGAAGGTTTTTTACATTAGAAAAAGAGCTGCAGAGCTTTTTCTATCTATAGAGACTTTCTATATGATGAACAGACTCATTTTTCAGGCTCATCACA